GTGTGTGTGTGATTTTTGTATTCAGCCGAAGGCTGAACCCAATAGTCATTAATACCCTCATCTTGTACTACAAAACACATATTCTCAGTTGTTTGGTTTTATGTTAGTCAGGATTATATTTGGCTATGAGTGACAAAAATCCACAAATAATAGGAACTTAAAGTTATTTCCTTCTCCTGTATGTGTAACTGGCATCCAAGGCTGGGATGCCAGCTCCGTGAACATTAAAGTTCAGGATCCTTCTATTTTATTATAATTTATAACCTCAACATGTAGCTTCCACTTTTTGGTCCAAAATGACTCCTACTTTAGCCAACACATCTATAATCTGAGCAGAAGGGAGAAGGAAGGAAAGGGAAGGGTGTCCCTTAAGTACCGTTCCTTGAAGTTGCATATACTGTTTGGGGGGTGGTGCAGAGAGAGAGAGAGAGGGAGAGCATGAGCAGGAGAGGGACAGAGAGAAAGGGAGAGAGAGAATCCCAAGCAAGGTTCATACTGCCAACATGTGGAGTCTGACGCGGGACTCTAGCCCACAAACTGTGAGACCATACCTGAGCCGAAATCAAGAGTTGGACGCTTAGCCAACTGAACCACCCAGGCGCCTCTGCACATACTGCTTTTAATTATACCCCATGGCCACACTTGGCTATGTGTAAGTTAAGAAAATGTGGTTTTTATTCCGGGTTATGTACTCAGCTAATTCTATTATTAAAAATGAATGGAAGTATTAGGTATTGGGGGACGACCTACACCCTGTGACAGGGTTGTTTTAAAAGATTGACATAGATCTTCCTTGGCTTACCATGGGGTTATATCCCAGGAGACCCATTTTACATTGGAAATATTGTGAGTCAAAAATGCATTTAATACATGTAACATGCTGAACATCACAGTTTAGCTTAGTTTACATAAAATGTGCTCAGAACACTTACATTAGCCTACAGTTGGGCAAAAACATCTATCACAAAGCCTGTTTTACAGTAAGGTATTGAATATCTCATATAATTTATTGAATACTGTACTGAAAGTGAAAAACAGAATGGTTCTAATTGTGTCAGTTGTCAGTCCTCACTATTGCTGCCCAGCATCAAAAGAGATTATTGTAGTGCATGTTAGCCCACGCAGGATCCAAATTAAAAATCTGAAGTATGGTTTCTATTGAATGCTTATCACTTTTGTACCATAGTAAAGTTGAAAACTCACAGATTGGGGACTGTGTCTGCATACTCCTGTTAATCTGCACTGTTTAAAATATATGTGTATTTTGGGGCACCTGAGTGGCTCAGTCGGTTAAGCATCTAACTCTTGATTTTTCTTGATGGTTTGAGAGATTGAGCCCTGCGTCGGGCTCTGCACTGACAGGAGCCTACTTGGGATTCTCTCCCTGTCTCTCTGCACCCTCCCCACCGACCCCATTTTACTCCCTTTCTCCCTCTCTCTCTCTCAAAGTAAATAAACATTTAAAAAATTATATATTTCTATATTTTAAAATATACTCCTGTAAAAATAATGCACTAAAGGAAGGAAATGCACTAAAGTATGAATGTGAAAATGGTGGGTAACTCCATCTCATAATTTAAAATTATTGAGCACCAGCTTTGTGACAGGCACTGTGACTGGCTCTTCATTCCTGTTACTGCATTTTATTGTTTTTGTTAATGTTTCTTTCTGATTAGAGTCACATCTATGTAAAACATTTGGAAAATACAGAAAAGAAAAAAGTAAAAAAAAAAATCATGTATTACAAATCATGCATAACGTGTAATTAGTACTGAAACCAGGATTACTATATCCCATTGTATTTCCAACTCATGTTTGTACTTCCTGCTGTCAAGAGGCTTATTTTTATGTGAAAATGTATATAAATCATTAAAATAAGGTTTAACTGGTAATATTTGTGTATATGGATATGGCATAATTAAGACAGTATAATAGTATGATTAATAACTGTGGATTGGAAGCATTGCTTAGGGTTTTAAAAACCCATATTAAAAAATTTTTTTTAATGTTTGTTTATTTTTGAAGGAGAGAGAGACAAAGTGTGAGTGGCGGACAGGCAGAGAGAGAGGAGAAGCAGAACCCGAAACAAGCTCCAGGCTCTGAGCTGTCAGCACTGAGTTTGGCACGGGGCTTGAAGTCACCAGCCATGACATCATGACCTGAGCTAAAGTCGGATGCCCAACCGACTGAGCCACCCCGGCGTCCCCAAAAAAGACACACATTTTTACGAGACCAGTGCTCTAACCCCTGAGCTATGGAGCCTCAAGACACACATTTTTAAAAAAATTACAAAATATATACTTAAAAAACCCAGAAAGTACAGATAACAAAAAAGAAGAATTTCCATGTTTAATCATTGTTTACTTTTACTGTGTGTTTTTCTGACTTGTTTAAAACAAAAAAGGGCTTATTCTATATAGTGGTTGTAGCTATGTTTACATATTGTAAATATTTTTCTGTGCCCATAGATATATATTATTTTTAGTGACTTCATACATATTTCATTGAGTGAGTATGTGATGTTTATTTAATCCTTAGATTTTTTTGAGGATATTTTGTTGGTACACGCAGCTGTCAAACAATGCTGCAGTTTCATACAACAACAGCAATAGCAATTGATATAACTACATATTGTTTCTTACGTGTTAGATGCTGTCTTCAATGCTTTATATATAATAAACTTCTTTATTATGCCCTTACTAGATACGTAAATTATTCTATTTCATATATTAGGAAATTGAGGCCCAGAGACATTATTGTGTGCCCAAGGTTATATAGTTGGCAAATGGCTGAGCCAGTATTTGACCTAGGCATTCTAGCTCCAGAATTCGTTCCCTCAATGAGAGAACTATATTTCATGTTTGATACTTAGCTTGAAGTTGCTTCAGTGCCTCAGTTTCCCTTATGTATAAAAAGCAGATAACTAAACCTACTCTTTCCTCCTTTTCATTTGTTGTTTCTTTTTTCATTTTGGTCCTGTTTTGTTTTTCTTGGTTTAAATATATTTACCATTGTTTTTATTACAAAAAAATTTCAAAACAAGTACAAAGATAGAATAGCATGATGAACCTCCACCCAGCATCAACAGTTATCAAAATTCACTTGATCCTTTTCAAGCAAATCAGACATACCATCTTAAAATGTATATCTAAAAAGATGCATAACCACAGTACCATCATGAACACCCCTATAGCCATTCATAATAATTTTTTAAATGTTTATTTTTGGGGAGCCTGGGTGGCTCAGTGGTTCCTGGGATCAAGCCCCCCAGGTCGAACTCTGTGCTGACAGCAAATGCCTGCCTGGGATTCTCCCTCTCCCTCTCTGCCCGTCCTCTGCTCATTTCCTCTCTCTCTCTTTCTCTCTCTCTCTCTCATAAGTAAGTAAACTTAAAAAAATATGTGTTTGTTTTTGACAGAGTGCGTACGTGAGAGCTTGGGCGGGGCAGAGAGAGAGAACAGGATCCGAAGTGGGCTCTGTGCTGACAGCAGAGAGCCGGATCACAGGGCTGGAACTCAGGAACTGTGAGATCATGACCTGTCCAAACGAAGGTTGGACCATGACCAAATGAAGTTGGACGTTTAACCAACTGAGCCATCCAGGCGCCCAATAATTTCTTAATATCACATAGCTTGTCAATGTTCGAATGTCTCAATTGTCTTTTGTATGTTTTATTTTACTGTTTATTTTTTGAAATTGGAATCCAAACATTACATTTTTAAGTTCTACTTTTCTCTTTTCCCCTTACAATTTATTTATTGAAAGAAAATTTTTTTCACCATCTAGACTTTTCCAGTTGCAACCCTGTTGTATCATTCAACATGCTCCTGCATCCCTTGTTTTCCTGTAAGCCAGTCCTTAGGTCTAGGGGCTTGATTAGATTCAGGCTAGATTCCTGTCATTTATTTATTTTGCTCAGACTATTTCATAAGTAGTATGAACTTCTTAGTGCATCATATCAGAAGACACACTATGCTGGTTGTCTTATTTTTATTATATTAAAGATTCATCAGCTTATCCATTAGAAAGTTCTCCTATCAGTTTTTCACCTACAGATTTTATTAGCCATTAAAATTATTGTCTAAATCCATCATTCGTTAGGGGTGGTAAAGTAGTGATATTCTGTATCATTTCTTCTGCATTAGCTGGATTTTGTCTAAAAAGAACTTACCCATATCGACTATTTAGTTACTCTCATGTACAGTTCCTGCAGGAAAGACAGGATACATGTTTGAACCTTTCCTTCAGATGAGTGGGTTTAGCTTTCTCCAAATGTTACCAGGAGATTTAAGAGGATTAAAATAAAACTTAATGTGATTTGGCCTGTACCAGTGCTAAATATAACTCCATGCTAAATCTAGTTTAGTAATACTTGTTGGTTGATTTTTATTGATTGATTTTCAAAGACAGGTGCCATTGGACCAGATCTTATAAAACAAGTTGGGTAATTAGGGAGGTACATCATTCTTTGTGTCTATAGACATGTATGTCTCTATATATGTATATACATGTTTAAAATATATCTTTAGGGCGCCTGAGTGGCTCAGTCGTTTAGGTGGCCAACTCTTGATTTTGTCTCAGGTCACGATCTTACAGTTTGTGAGTTTGAGCCCTGCATCAGGCTCTGCACTCACAGAGCGGAGCCTGCTTCGGATCCTCTGTCTCCCTCTCTCTGCCCTTTCCTCACTCACACTCGCGCTCTCTCTCTCTCTCTCTCTCCCTCCCCCTCTCTTTCTCACTCTCTGTCTCTCTCTCAAAAATAAATGTTAAAAATTTTTTTAAGTAAATAAAATATGTCTTTAAACCTATACCTGTAGGAATTTACTTAATTCATACTGTTGATTCCTGTACTTCCTTAGATTTTGAGTGTATCTTGGATAAAAGAAAAAAACCTCTTCCATATGGAAGCAATAATATAACTTTGGGAAAACTACCAAAAATGCACTGGGAATCAAATACCCAAATAACTGGATCAACACTGCCACCAGGAGCTGAAAGGTATCTTATTTCTTAGTTTCAGATTTTGTTAATTAAACGTTAAATTTGGCATAACTTAATGAACTCTGTTAACAAGGATTAATTGTAGGAGTATCTGCTGCTCATATCATCTTTTCCTGTGTCTTTTCTTTTCATGTGTCTTCTGACTTACTGTCTGTCCTTTGCTGTCCAAAGTTTAGCAATCTAACTAAAGTGCTAACCCTCTGATTGTCCTCAGTGGAAGTAAATAGTATCTTCTTTGGAGCTCCCATACATCTCTACTTATCTCATAGCACTTAGCCACTTCCTACACTGCATTACAGTTACTTAATATGTATCACATGTTTTGTTAGACTATAAGCTGTATCTCTTTATGTTTGTGTCCCTCACAGTGCCTTCCATATGGTAGTTGCATAATAAATATATGTTGGACAAGGAAACAAATGAGAAAGCGTGGAAATTTTTACTATAATATGGTGTAAGTTCTAATGAGTAGCCTTATTTGTCCCTAGTTACCAATTTAAGTAGAATAATAACTTAGCATACTCATATATTCATTTGGTTTTTGTTAATTTATGAAGATGTAACTTTGTTCCTGAAACGCTTATAATTACTTAGTTTTTCATTTTGATTTCAGAAGTAAATATATATATTTTTAATCTTGTGTAGGATTGCTTTGGAATTTTTGGATTCAAGAGCTTTTTGTAGAAACATCCCTCACTTAAAGGGGAAATCTGCTATGAAAAAACGACATTTGGAAATTTTGGGGTATCGTGTAATTCAGGTATGAAATACTGATGTAATTCTGCCCCTAAAGAACTCAGAAAACTAGATGTACATGTGTTTTCTTTTTTTAAAAATTGGAGTATAATTAACATACATTTTTATATTCATTTCAGGTATACAACATGATTCAACAATTCTATACATTACTCAGTGCTCACCATAATTAAGTGTAGTGATCATCTGTTCTCAAACATTTTGCAGTCTTCCAGACTAAATTCCCTATGCTCTACTTTTCATCTCCATAATTTATTTATTTTGCAAGTAGAAGTTTGTACCTCTTAATCCCCTTTATCTATTTCACCCTTCCCCTCCACCCATCTCCTCTCTGACAGGTGGTTACCTGTTTGTTCTCTGTATTTAAGAATCTGGTGTTTGGGACTCTTGGGTGGCTCAATTAGTTAAGCGTCGGACTCTTAATTTGGCTCAGGTCATGATCTTATGGTCGTGAGACAAAGCCCTGTGTTGGGCTCTGAGCTGTCAGCAGAGATTTTCTCTCTCCCTCTGCCCCTCCCTCCCTTGCATGCATGCACACGCATGTGCTCACTCTCTCTACCTCTCTCTCTCTCTCGCAAAAAAAAAAAAAAAAGAGTCTGGTTTTTTGGTTTCTTTTTTTCTTTGTTCATTTGTTTTGTTTCTTAATCACACATGAATGAAGTCATAATGGTATTTGTCTTTCTCTGTCTGACTTATTTAACTTAGCATTATACTTTCTAGGTCCATCCAGTATGTGTTCCCTTTTAATGTGACAGTTCTAGAATTACCTTTTTTTAATATTAAAAAAACAGTTATATTAAAATATCTCCAAAACAGACATTCTCCATGTTTTTTTGAATAGGAAATAAAAATCATTTATTTTATTATCTGTAGAAGATCTGTTGGTTTTTATATTTATTTATCTTACAAGAGAGAGAGGCACTGTGGAGATGGGTAGAGATACAAGAGAAAAAGGCTAGTGTGTGTATGTAGGAAAGGTACACAGGAAAAAATGTCCACTGTTGGTATTGTAGGAACAGGAAGGTGAAAGTAGCCGTGAGGCAGGAGGTATCTGGGCTTTATCTGGGAGAAGGACCCACCTGGCTTCTGAAAATGGTTTATGCTTATGTGAGCTAATTTAATAGGCTCCTACAGTTTGGCTTAGTAGTGCTTACAAGTCTTCTCTGATGCTTTTTGTTGTTGCTTTAAAACTTTAAATTCAAACTACGTTGCGTATTTTACAGATCCCTCATTTTGAATGGAACTCTATGGCACTGTCAACAGAGGAAGCTCGGATGGACTACCTGAGAGAATGTATATTTGGCGAAGGCAAATCATGACTGCAGTTTTAAATTAAAATTCGTGATGCTGGTGTGTCACATTTGAACTTATTTTAATTAAGGGGCCTGACTCAACTGAAAAATGATAGTACAGAATTGACTGATTTCAAGGTCAATTGAATACCTATTAAACAGACATTTTATTTTCTCCAATACTTAATCTTTCTCTACTATCTGGTTGGGAAATTGTATAAAATTCTTAATATAAAAGACTTGTAGCTTTGAAGAAACTTGAATCGTTTACAGTTCATTCTTTGAGGGCCTACTAAGTGTCAGTAACTGTTTTAGGTGCTGGGAATACAGCAGTGCATATTGTGTATCTGCCACAGGTGGCCAGCGAGGTAGGAGGTAAAGTCATAGGTACTAACACTTCCTAGAAGCCAAGTAGAGAAAGCATTTCAAGGAGGGAGAGGTGAGCAGTTGTATCAGATGCTGCCGTCAGGTAGAATGAGGACTGGGAAATGACTGTTGAATTTAGCAACATGAAAATCATTGGTAACCTTGAAAAGAGTAGTTTTGGTGAAGTGCTAGGTGTGAAAGCCTGACTGGTTTAATAGAAAGCAGGAGGAGACAGGATTTTTTTTTTTTTT